ACTCGTCCTTATCACATTCTGTGGTTAATGTCACTTCACACATTCTAGCTATGCACATATGATGCGTGGTCCATCCGCCCGTATATCCTCCCCTCGAGAAAACCCATCCGCTGATTTGCCACATTATTTTTGCGTACTTCGATGCTTTGGCAGTCGCTCTCCTCTGTTTGTCTGTGTTACAGGACAGTCCGCAAAAGTCGTAGTTGTCGCGTGGCCCGCGCCTCTGTGACCCCCGTTCAGAGTTCGCGATCGCGCGATTGCTTCAAGCGGGATTTGCAGTGAGAATTTGAACTGTATCGCTGCGGCGGCACACTGCTTGGCGGTGGAGCGCCCCCAGTCGTCGTGGTCGCGCGATCCAGTTGAGCGGTCCGGTGGCGCGATCCTATCGCGCCGTTCGATCGCAGAGCCCAATCGCGCCATCGCAGGCATTCGCGAAGTCTAAACGCTGTCTATGCCCCTTCGCCTAACCAACACCTAGAGTGTACGCGACCGGAGTCGTCGAGGGATAGTCCCGCAGAGAGAAGCTGTTTCCACGTAGTCTGAGCAGTGATTAGGGAAACCATAAGGAGGTGTTGGCTGAAGGTTCCCTCTCCGAGAAAAAGAGCGTGGTGAATGAATCGATTCGTATGTGCACTTATGTCGTGCTTTTAAACGCCGTGGGCGCCCTTTCTCAGAATAGCCTATATTATTGCAATGACGCTTGTCGTTCTGTTCTTTCGAGGGGGTAAAATGATGGGAAATAAATGTAATCGGACGCGAAGGTGTCAATCTTTATTGAAGATAACAGTTCAGTACTGTCATCGATCTGAGATTCCAAGTTAGCTGGAAAGCACTAGACTCACTAGTCTTTATAGATCTTTCTTATTGATCGATTTATTAATTTGTTTGAAGAACACTTCTGCGAATTCTTGTAGACAGATGACTGACTGCTCACATGACATTTGATGGCTAACTTCACGTTGTGTTCCTCCCGTTCCGTCGGGAAAAAAATGTTGCCGACAGTTTTTTTGGAGCTTTTC